TGTAATTGGGGAAGGAGGAAGGAAATGGGAAGGTGAGAAGAAGAATGTTAGATAGAAAGAAATAAAGGAGACTCGTCTCCATCCATCTTGGTCAATCGCATGACTAAAATATGTACATTTTTTTTTTCCTTTCCTTTATTTAATAAACTAATCTCCAACTTTGTATATTTTATGGAATTGCCCTCTTCTGAGTTATGGGTTCGCAAAATTCCATGAATTTCTTATTGAAGATAATTTAAAATGGGACTAGTCAGTCTCTCCAACTAGTATTGTATTATTATGTGTTCTAAAAATCGTTCTAGACGTTCGTATAAGCGGTGCTTAGACGTTAGACCCCTATAGACCGTGACGATTACCGCTTTTACCGTATAAAATATTATAGTATTATAATAATAAAATAATATAAATTTTTGCATATATAAATCATAAAAATGTTATATATTTGGCTATAAAATGATAAATATAAATATAATATAAATTTTGTTAGTTATAAATTATGTTTTTTTATATATTTTATCATATATATCTAATATATTATGTATTTTTGTAAAACGTTTAGACCGCCTATTAAATCGTCTAGGCTCCGAGTAAGCGTTCTAGACACTAAGTATTAGGTTACCGTTCGCTTGGCGCCTAGCGTTTTCTTGAACATTGAATATTAGTGTGGTTAGAGACTGAGTAGTAGTTCACTGTCAAAAAGGTTCAGTCTTTAAATTAAGAACTACAGTTTGATTTTTCTTTTTCATTGCAATTTCAATTGTGATGAGTTTTGATAATTAGTTTTGAGTTTCACTTGAGACTCTTCTTGCTTATATTAATATATACACTCTTCTTGCTTATATTAATATATACATTTGTAGTTGTAAAAGTTGCATACTTAAAGATGAATAATCAATAAGCTCTCTTTTGCTCTAGAACTGGTGGGATGTTCACTACTTTTCTACTAGTAAAGTAACCTTTGAAACTTTTCAGAACAAAAAAAATGAATACCACTAAAATGTGTACACAAATCAGATAATAATTAAAAACATTATAAAATGAAATAAAAACTCTTATCCAAACAAGCCCA